ACACTTGTGGGCTCATTTAGATACACGCAGTAACTTAATGGAGTCTCCGCTGGTTACAATGAAACAAATCCAGGTGTCGCTGCTCCCAGCCAAGAAATAGTTGCAGCGAGTAACTCCCTGTACAACCACAACTTTTTATATTTCTGTTTTGATAGAGACTAATAGCTGTTTCTCCCTGCTTCCAAGAATTTATGCTAAGCTAAGTTTATCATCGCCTGCCTCTAGCTTTCTACTTAAGAATGACAGATTACTTACGATACGACAGATTCATGACAATGGTATTGAAGTTCTTATCTGACTATCGACAGGAAAGCGAATAAGTGTACAGAATCAGAAGGAGCAGGAGTTGTTGTTGCTGCCGCAATTCAGAGGCCATTTGATGAAGTTGAATGCAACTTATATACGTTCCCATGTGTGGACAGGAGGTCAGACATAATAAAACACACGATCACTTCCTCACCTTGCACATTAACAGGGAAGGTGCTGGTGAAGAAGAATGGCTGGAAAGCTGGCATGGGTCCTCCGGCCTGGCCGTAGCTCAGCTGCTGTGAGATAGACTGCTGCCTGCTCATAGTTGGGTTAGCGCCGGCCACCGGGGCCTGGACCTGGCTTCCACTGCTGCTGGCCAAGCTGGGGCTGGGTGAGGCCAAGGGAGGCGAGCACATGGTGCCGTTGTGTGCCACCGCATGCGGGTAGTCTGCGTGGTTGACAAGGTGCGGCTCAACTGACAGGTCCATGGGCACTGTGCAGTTAACAGTGTGGTTGTGGGAGGGGTTCAGGCTGGGTGACGCGCCATTTTGCTCCGTCACAGGAATGAATTCCCCAGCCTGCACATGGCTGTGGGGGGTGGGGTTTGGAGGAGGAGTGGGGCCTTCAGACAGCAGGCTCTGGGATTTCTGAGGCTCATGAGTCGGGGAAAGGGAGGCCGAATCACTGTGTGTGTCATCATCGTGCTCTCCAGAACCATTCTGTGTAGGGTGCTGGGCCTGGATGAGCTCTGACTTGTTATCCATCTTAGAATACATGAAGGGTGGGTTAGCCAGGTAGTTGGGGATGATTGGCAACTCAGGCTCCTTGACTTCAGGCACTTCGTCCACTTCAACTGCGGTAATAATGTGTATGAAGAAATAGAGAATTAGTCCCTTAGAGCCAGCTTTGGTCTCTGTCAGTACCACAAACAGCTGTAGATACTCTACCATAAACATGTTGTAACCTGTACATGGTACTGATATATCACATGCCAGCAACAATGAAAGGCTTCTAGCATGATGTGACAGGAACAAAATGTGTACCTTACCTCCTAAAAGTCGTTTGATCTCTGGCTTGGACGTGAGCTGTGAGGCCAACTCGTCCTTAGCCGTGAGGATTTCTTTGTCTGCTCCACAACCGAGTAAGAAGGACACTATGTGCTTGTGGTTCCTCTTGCATGCCCAGTGCAGGCATGTCCTGGTGGGTTTATTGGAGAGGGAACAGTGTATAAAACCGTCTATAATGGAGATCATTTGAGAATGATATTCACATGGTTCCACCTATCATCAACTAGAAAGTTTGAGTCGTACACCGCCTGAACTGCCCCTGTGCTTGGTATGGCATTGGAGTACAGAATGAAAGCCATTACCTCAGACTGGCAAGATCCATGTAAATTATTTCAGCATACTCAAATAATCTTGTGTCAATATCTCCGTTGCATAACTGCCTGGACATGTAGGAACATGACAATTGTAACCTTGCATATGGAAGAGGTTTATAACATGTTATTCAAGTAGGTAGTAGGATACACTTGGCATATTCATGACTGGAGCAACCATGTGCCAACTCACATTTTATTTTACTCCACTGGTCCCTTCTGTTATTTTGAGATTACTAGAAGAATGGCTCTTTATTCTTTAAACTATCACAAAATACAAGCTGACAGGCCGTTTATTTACTGTTTGAATGATCAAGATACAAAGTAGGTAGGTCTGGCTGACTAACAAGCCTTGCTGTGCCTGATAAGACAACACAGACCCTGTAACAACACACCTGGCTGTAATATTAACTGCACTGAACTTTTAAACAGGCAATAAAAGCGTTGCATTTACAAATCTGAGAAGCAAACCACCGCGTTTGACGTAGTGACGACCACATGTATTCGTCCAAAACACTCACCATCCATTTATTTCGTTCTGTGAATTAACATTTACTCCACTCTCCACCAACGTCCGCACTTCGTCGATGTCCCCGATGGCAGACGCCTCTCTCAGTCGCTCCTGTAATTCTTTATCCAACGAAGTGGTGGACATCTTGGTGCAGGCAACTAACGTTGCAAGATCATGGGATACACAAAAGCCTCTCGGATTAAGCTGTCAATACTAATCGCTACTGATGGCACACAGGTCCACTATAAATAGACTTGCCAGCTTACATTAGCCACCGGCTAATTTTACCTACTTGCTAGCTTAACGTGATGCTAGCAGAGTCTTTGGTGCTAGCTTGTCGCTTCGGCTAATCTAACTTCGTGTTGATGGTCGGAGACTTTGGCGTTTACGCTGCAGGCTCCGTACAAGCCATTAATTTCTGTTGTTAGTTCACGTTACAGTACCCCTGCCAACACTGAGTGCACTCATTCAATCAGCCAGTGGTGTCAGAGTTCCGTCAGCAGGCTGCCAGGAGCACCACCGCCACATCGGGGGGCATCTTTCGATGTAACAACAGCGAGCACAAATGTTAGTTCCCCTCTGAATACCCTCCACGATTATCTGACGCGTGATGTGCCACTTAACTTTGTGTAAAATAATGAGACCAGCTCTCGACATTAAAATAACTTTGAGAAATAAAAGGTGAAGCAACTGTTTTAACACACACGTGTTGCGGGCATATTTAGCCATGCAACCAGTGGGTAATAATAATAATAATTTCCATGCTTTGCTTATTTAGTCACAAAACATATAATAGTTTAGGACCACATTAAAATATGTTTCATGTTGAATTATAAATATAATTATATATATAATTCATCAATATGAAACATATTACAACATAAACATATATATATGTGTAATGCACTAGGGCCCATAAAAGTAAGGGATACGGAAGATATCTAAGATGATTCTCATTGAAGAAGGTGGAGTGTTTTAGCCTTTAACTTGGGACCACTTGAGGAAAAAACAAAAACAATCACTATCAATCATTACTATTACTATAACTATTAATTCTGATTTCTTAAGTTTATTTTGAAAGTAATCACTGGAATTGATAGTTATGTGTGGATATCTAGCGACACTGGTCTCCACACCCAGAGAACTGTTAAATATGTTTATTATTACCAGTACAAATACCAGTGTTTTTATGTGTAATAATACTAATGGTGTTGCACTTACTGACATGAGTACGATCAGTGTTTCTCATTATTTCAACGTTGTGTTGCAGTTTCTCAATGTGACCACTGGAGGGCAGAAAACGGTCATGATTCTACACTCCAGTGAACTTCACAGTGTTGAGGCAGACAGTCTATGAGCTGACACAAGACCAATGCTATTGTCACCTTTTTCAGAGTAACATTATAAAGCATCCTGACTGACAACATCACTAACTGGCATAGAAGATCATCGGTACCCATCTCCCGAGCATCAGTGATATCAGTGATGTGAGTTAAGCAGAGGACAGTACCCACCCCAGCCAAAGCCACCCTGTTGCTGATAGAAGTTTCTGCTGCCGCACCACCAGACTAAAGAGCAGTTTTTTTAAACTCACGTTTATTTCAGTTAAACCTTTTAGAATTGCTTTTCCATTAATGTATATAGTCTGCTATATAACAGAAGGAAGTTACAAACTGAATTTTACAACCTGTTACATTTTATTTTACCTTGATTTGAGACAAGACTACCCTGTCGAGTAGAAATCCACGCACTACACAAATAAGTACACAGTTAGTGTACATTCACATTTTAGACAATTAGCAGATGCTGTCCAAAGCTATAGTACATTGAGTAATCCCATAGGAAAGTGAGACACCACAGTCAAATAGGTTTTCCCCCCCAAATTTAGTCATATCACAATAAAACTTTACAAGCTGATAGCATACATAAATAGAAGCTTCAAAATATATTGTTTTTTCATGGATTTATTGAAAATATACTAGTCAGATGTGTGACAGACCCTTTTCCCCACAATTTTACAGAATGCCACATAAAATGAGAACACAAGAATAAAAGATATTTTAAAAATCCTCTGTAAAAGTCTTGCTATAAGACTTCAGAAACAGTGTAAAATGTTGATGCTGTAACTGCTTTGAAGGGCCAGGAACATGACGTACAGTACGTAAATGTCATTTTGAGAAAACGACTGTTAACGATAAACATTACTGTTTGTCACATGAACACATATCTTGTAGGTAGATATGTACTGGCTAACATTGTGCTCTACAAAACAAAATTACAAATGATGGAGAGTTTTACAAAGGCCGGTCAAACTTTTACTTGGAAAGTGCTAACAAAGATTAAATTTACGCGATCTAACGCTGACGAACTTGGTGTAAACTACACACAAAAAAATATAATTATGTATATTATTCAAAACTGAAAATTTAGAGATTGAAGCAAAATCATCATTTTGTACTGGTGTGTCTCGCCTTAATCTTTCGCTTAATAGGCGGCCCATGCTTGGTGGTCCGCCGGAAAGGGGGGGCCTTCGCCTCTCTGTCGCTTTCGGTAAGAACTTTCAAAATAAAATAATCAAATTGTAACCACACGCCAAACCTATGGACGTATGGGTTTTTGCGTGTGGTTACAATTTTACCTGTGTTTTAAATCGCATACTAAGTACTTCCTACTACATACTCAATGATTTATCGTGAGCAAATAAAGACTGTATCACAAAACCCATATCTAAAATCGATGTTGAAAGTCCATATGATCGCATCATACTTGTACTTCCGGTTCAGAGGGGGCTGCTGCTGGACTGGCTGTATTGAACCATAAACGGGCGTTGTTGTCACAGTGTCTGCCATTTTGATTGTAAGTACTTTGCGCGCGATAGATGGTGTGAACAGAGTCTTCAGAGATAGAGTTATCGTAGTATTTTAAATCAAGGCTTTATTTTTTAGGCAAAAATGCTTTCGGCAGCCCAGTTACTCGATGAATTAATGGGCCGAGATAGAAACTTGGCCCCTGACGAGAAGCGATGCAACGTGCGGTGGGACGACGAGAGCGTAAGTTAGCATATTAGCTAACGCTAGCCTAGTTGGTTTGATGAGCTAACGCAGCGTTAGCTAGCCAAGATACCAAACCCGTAGTATGTTGGATATGTTTGTTAAATTAAACAGTATGTAAATAGTCCAGAATCCAACGCACGGAAATGGTAACTTACCACAAGCTGGTATTGAAGTGTTGTCTTGGGACGCGTGTTATTAAAGTTAGAACCACCGTATGCTAATGCTAATAGTACTTATTTGTTCCCAGTTAAAGCTTGAATCGTTGTGGATTAACGTTAGCGTTGTACTCGTGCTCTGCTGCTAGCATTACATTTAAAGTGATTATGAGTAACGTTACCTAATTAGTTACTAGATATGCTTTATCCTGCTTTGGTGTGTGGGTCTAATACTAATGGGTAACACTAACTTGAGGCATAACGTTAGTTTAGGTAAGACACGTAATATTAGTGTTAACGTTACATTCACTTTGGGACTGATTGCAAGCCACACTTGTTAGCAGTTAGCATATGTAAACTGTTATCGCTTGATCCGACTTAACTAATATTATAACTAATATTTGGAAAAGATTTCCAACAAAAATGGTGTTTGTAATAAGTAAAAATCTATTTTCTCCAATTAGGTCTGTCGATACTATCTGTGTGGCTTCTGCCCAGCTGAGCTATTCACAAACACCCGCTCTGACTTGGGTAAGTCAAAGACTTGTACATGTACATAAACCTGTTTTAATAAATCAGTAGCTGACAGGTGCATCCATATACTTTGAAGATAATAATGCATTACATTTCTTTTTCAGGCCCCTGTGAGAAAATCCATGATGAAAATCTTAGGATAACGTAAGTTCTTATTGTGGGTTTTTTACCGCAATTTGTGTCTTGATATTCCGCCTAATAAACTGTTTCTGTGTGTCCAGGTATGAGAAAAGCTCCCGGTTCATGAAGGAGGGCTATGAACGAGACTTCCTGCGCTACCTACAGTCACTCCTGGCAGAGGTGGAACGGCGGATTCGTAGAGGGCACGCCCGGCTTGCACTTTCCCAGGCTCAGCAGAATGCAGGGGTTTGTAATGAGACATCGTTCTGTAACCCATGCTTTTCACTGCATTTGTTTTTTAAAGTGTCTTAGTGGCTGCACAGATTTAGGTGTTGATTACTCGGTGTCCTCAATTAGGGTTGGGCGATATCTACAAAATTTATTATAATGTTTGTCGTGATTAAAACCTACTTTCACATGGAGGTATTTTGTGAAAAATTAAATTTTTTACCGGGGGCCAGGGTTTTACAGTCACAATGCCTGCTCAACCATCGACCATCTGTCAGCCATCACCGATGGACGATGGCATTGTCTATCGTCCCAACCCTATCCTCGATACTTCTTTGTCATCTTAGACTACAGTGCTCATCGTGAACCTAAAATATTACATTACGTGGTCTGTGTGGTTGTACCTGAGAGAAAGTGTTTATTTCAGCAGGGTCCTGGTCCATCAGGAAAGAATGAGGAGAAGTCTCAGGTTCTCACGGAGAAGATTGAAGACCTAGTTGTACAGGTACGTAACAAATAGATTTCATAGATCTTTTTTATAAAAGAGCAGCATAGTGCCATGTATCATAGCTGGAATTACAAGAATGGAAAATTTCTTATCTTGACATGAGATTAAATGACATCAAATTATATTCACACTAATACCTCGGACTTGTCTGTTTTGCTTTTGCTTAGATCGAAGAGCTGGGGTCAGAGGGCAGAGTGGAGGAGGCCCAGGGAATGATGAAGCTGGTGGAGCAGCTGAAGGAGGAGAGGGAGCTGCTCAGCTCCACCCCCTCGGTGAGTCAACTAACTCCAGGCTACTTGGCCTACAGGCGCTGGTCATGTAATGCTGTTTGTTTACAAACCCGTTTTATTCTTTTTACTGTAAAGTCTAAGCATGGGCTGAGAATGATGCACCCACTGCTACTTACATTACTCTTAGCTAGATAACAGTGAATCTTCACTAGAGCCTACAACATTTATCCTGATTGATTTAAATAGTTTAATAAATTGCCCTCAAAGCAAAGTGTAAAACAAATGAGCAGTTATCCTCTAAGGCAGAAAGAAATTGCTTAGTACATCATTCCCTTATGGTTTAACTCATTTGTGCTTTTTATCCAGACCATTGAGAGCTTTGCGGCCCAGGAGAAACAGATGGAGGTGTGTGAAGTGTGTGGGGCCTTCCTCATTGTGGGGGATGCACAGTCTCGAGTGGACGACCACTTGATGGGCAAGCAACACATGGGCTATGCCAAGATCAAATCCACTGTAGAGGAGCTCAAGGTAACAGGATCACCTGACACACACAGAATACATACATAGCTAATGAGCTGAAGTATAAGTTCTGTGTTTCCACCACATAGACTTTATTTAGGTGGGCTGTCCAGGTATGTTAACAACTAGTGACCCACTGAGATCCACAGAGAAAGTTGTTATCTATTACGTTACAAAACACAGACACGATGGATGTTTTACAAGCTCGGATGAGGTAAAGCTGGGCATACATTGTCTGCGATGTAAAGCCCAAGCTCACGATGTACCCGCTCACTGTTCAGTCCGATGGTAAGCTACGACCTGAGCGCTCACACTGTACGTGTATAAAACAGCCCGTTGGTCCCTGCAGACCATTCTGGCTATTGACAATAATCAAATATTTTTTGTAAGGTCCGAGGGAGGTAGAGGTAGGGCGGGGCAATAAAACAATGATAATTATCATAATATAATTTATATAATATAATGTTCAATATATCGTCAATAAATATTTGGTTTAATTCATTAGTCATCAATAAACTAGCACTTAATTTTTTTTGTTGAGGAAAAGGGACTGAAAAAAATGTACTAATCATTAATTTTTTAAAAATAGTTTGGAATGTACTCCCTAAGATTTGTTAAGTGATCTACTGTTTGGCATCAAGTGTTTGTCCCATTTTGACCATAAAGAACTACATAATGAACCATCTGGTTTCTTCAATTTTCAGTCAGGAGAAAAAAAATCAGCCTTTAAACTTGAAAGAAAAAAATATCTAGCGAATGAAATTTAATGTTTTTATCATGATAACGTTTTTGGCTTAATCGCCCAGCCCTGCAAACTAACGACTTTCGGCCTTGGTCGATGGCCGTGCCGTTCACACTGCACAACTTGCCGTCATGTGACGGGAATCTTGAAGTCGTTGTGTCGGTCACACACTACGCAAGCTGACAACGACCGCCGTCATGCAAAGCTGGTCTCCAAACCACTTTTTGTCAACAAAACACATGTGAAACGGGAAATGACGCGAACCTACACACGAAACTGCTGTTTGTTGTTATAAAGATACCAATTATAAAGACAAAGAATCTGGGTGAAAGAATGGATTAGCACACTCTGGTAGCAGGGATTGTCTGAGCTACAGAGAGCTGGAGGTGAGTTAAAAGGTGCAGCTCCCCGACACCCAGTTAACTCATGACTGTGAGGTTACAACTCATGGTCCAAAAAGGAGAACAACAAACGCACGTGTGCACATTTTCAGCTGAGAACTGCGGCTTGCTTTGGCTAGCCTTCAACTCAACAATCAATTATGATTTCAGTTAAGTGCTAAAGTTACTGTTACCTTGTCTGTGGTCCGCTGGCAGAACACTGGGTGCTTTCTGATCAGGTGCCGTTGCCGCAGCGACATAAATTTTGTTTTACGGTGGATGGACGGAAACATTACAGAGTTGTTTTCTTTAGCTTGAAATTATAACATACTTTGTCCCTCGCTATTTTATCTCTCTTCCTCCACTTTGCAAACAGCTCTATTATAATCACGTCGTGTTCACAGCGTAAGCGCGATGTGCGACCGTAATAAATGTCCGTGCGAAACAGTGCGCTGCATAGTTGCATGGATTAAACGAAGCATCGATTCAAAGAATTAGCGTCGATGCATTTTATTAATCGATGAATCGTTTCAGTCCTAGTTGCCATGGCACTTTCAGACACCAAATCTACTTGTGGTTCTGCTTCAACTGACGAATGCTGACCAAAATTTCAGACATGTCAGAAATTCAGCCGGCGGCCGTTCGGGAGCAGTTGATTGCTCGTCTTTTCTGAGACTTTACAAAACATACTACTAATGGAGTAGGTAAGTAGAGCAGACACATACAGGGAGAGAGCGACAAAGAGGCGGGGTAAGCCAGTGTGTTTGCATCAAAGGTGTAGGTCTTTGCGTGTGTGGGGAAATGAGAAGTGCAAAGAATAAGAAAGTTTTGTGGCACATCTTTGCGGTTCTCACTGTCAAATAGTTGACATAAATAGAGCTCACAGTTAATATACATCCAGAAAAGCAAACTCTTTAAAAATACAAAATACATGTCAAATATATTAAAACTGAGACATTTTGTACAGAGGATTGATGCTGCAAGAGAAGATGTTAGTACATAATTTTTGTCCCCTGTGTTTTAACAAAGTGAATGATCCACAGTATTTCACCTAAACTGTTTGGTTTAGATTCTGGTTTAAAATGTGCTGATTAAAATTAATGAGGACTGTTGTTTATTTACTCTTAGGAGAAACTACGTCGGCGCTCAGAAGACCCCCCAGGTGAAAACCCAGCGCTCAAGAGGGACAGAGAAGACCGTGAGCGCGAGAGGGAGGAAAGGGAGAAAAAGCGCAAGGAGGAGGAGGAGAAGGAGAAGGAGCGGGAGAAGGAGAAGGAACGGGAACGAGAGAGAGAGAAGGAGCGTGAGAGGGAGAGAGACAGAGAACGGGACAGAGATAGAGACCGGGAGAGGGACAGGAGGGTGCGCCGAAGCCACTCCAACAGTCGCCACTCCAGTCGAGCGTCAGACAGGAAACGGAGCAGATCCCGCGATCGCCGGAGGTCCAGAAGCAGAGACAAGGAGAGGGAGAGGGAACGCAAACGCAGCAGGTACTGCTGACTTTCTTGAACCACATTGATCACCATTTTCTTTGTGGTCTAGTAACGGCAGTGTCTCACCATAAAACGTCAGTGCACTGTCGCTTGCTTCTGTAATGGATAGAGGCACCAGTCCAGGTTTAGGAGCACCATTTAAATCCACCTTCACAACAACACATAAGAGTAAACATTATCTTTTGCTAATGATAGGAACCTCGCTCCAATTGCATCAACCTTTGAAATACTAGCTCCCCAGTAGTGAGAAGTCAGAGGGGGAAACTGAACTGTAGTCACATTCCCCAAAGCTACTTGCACCAGCGCACTAGATTTGCAACAATTCGTCAAAGTGAAATTTCATTGGTCGACGCATTGTTACAGAGGGAGAGATGGTAATCTAATTATTAAGAACATTTCTGGTTGTTCATTTCTAACTACAATGCACTACAGGAAGTGCTGGGGGCAGTACCGCTTCCACTGTTGGCCATGACTGTAAGACGAGGAAGCAGTCATGCAAGAAACGAAAAGTAACGGAGAAAGAGTCTTAGATCAGAACGTTTTTTTGTTTGTAAGTTTTGTATGCTATTTCATCACTAAATACACTTTGGAAAGGTTTTGAGGCGAAAAACTGTGTATAACTTGAATATTGGCAGTTTTACGAAAGTTGTTGATAAATCGAAAATCTACAGAAAAAATTTTGGGGTTGAGAAGCTCGCGAGGTTAGCGGAGCCAGCCGGTCAGTCAGTCACGCCCACAGAGTCCTCTGGTCCCAGTTACTCAGACCACTGCTGCAGCGGAAAGGCCACAACTGTAAGATAGTTTCAGTGTTTGTACTGCTGTTGTTAATCTTTAACATTTTAAAGTAAATGAAACATCTCGCTTGTGATTACAGAACATTCTCCACTTATAAAACTTACAAGCACTTTGGAAAAATAAACTACAGAAGAAGTATGAAAGGGGGACTGTTGCTTTATTTTCTAAATTACATTGTTTGTGTGCAGTTGTGGTTATAGTACTTGCTTTTATTGTGCTTTTATTTTATCAAAAGCAAATCTTTGTTAAAAAGTTAAACGTTTTAAAGTTAAACCATGTTATCTTGGAGCAGCCTCTCTGTAGTTCTTTGCGTTCTTGGTTTTGAGGTCTCATGGACAATGCTGGCTAAGAGAACGCTCTTTTGTGTTAACAAACACGTTAAGTGCACTAGTAAATCACTGAATTATTGGAGTAGCCTACGCTGTCTTGTCATATTCCCTGGTTTGTCCCTGACATTGATACTAGTGTTCATTCTGAATAGTAAACCTTGTTCACTTAATAGTAACGTTAGCTAGCTAGGCTGTGTGTTGGATATCAGTAATTCACTTGAAAGATATTAATTAGTTAAATGGTTTAATTGGGGTTAGGGGGTGACAAAAATAATCGTGACTAATTGAATAAATAATTAACAGATTAGTCGACTATGAAAGCACCACAAAAACAAATGTGTGCCACTGCATGAAGAACCATGATTGAACTTTCTTTTGTTTGTTTTATATACATCTTTCACTTGTTGTCGTAATTGCTCATTCTCCTCCCTCTTTCATAGGAGCCGGGACAGGGACAGGGAGAGGAGACGCAGCCGTGAGCGCTCTGACCGAAAGCGTCGCTCCCGCAGCCGTGACAGGAGGAGATCGCGCAGCTCCGAGCGCAAATCTCACCGCCACCGCAGCCGCAGCAAGGACAGGGAGAGAGACAGGGACAGAGAGCGGTCATCAAAAGACAAAGGTGAGGACTTGTTGAATGTTTTGTTTGTACTGCATGCTGTAATACCAAAAAGGCCTTACTCTGTACACCTTGTTGTCCACCAAGGAGAAATGTTTGACATGTGTGTCTGTTTTCCCAGACCGTAAGGCAACAGAGGAGAGGAGCAGCTCTAAGAAAGCCAAGCACTCTGACGGCGATGCAGCTGCCATCAAGGCTTCGTCAGAAGCGGAACCGATGGAGGCGGCTGCCTCTGCCCCCTCCCCTCTGCTTAACGGCCAGCAAGAGCTCCTCCATTCTGAAGGTGACACTCAGTCCAATTAAAACTGATCTGATAGGACCTCAGATCAGGCTCAGGTAAGTGCGTCCTCCTCCTTGCTCCCCCTGGCTCTGAACCTAACCCTTCCACGTCCCCTCCCCCCACCTTTCCCATCTCCCCTACCCACCCTCTCACCCTACCTCTCCCACCCCGTTTATGTTCAGTTCAATGCCTATGATTTTGTCTTATGTCCTATATGCATATATCTTTATCCTGTTTTTGAAATAGTGCATCATAAGTATGCACTGAAGATGAAGGACTAGGCCCGAAGAAGGTAGAAAACATTCACACAAAGCCAAGAGGGAAAGGCCAGTGTAGCCCTGAGCAAACATGCCCGGAGGTACCCCTCGTATTTAATCGGTTTTTGATCCTTTATAGATGTACATTTGTCTTTGTGGACAAAATGGCAGAAAAAAATATTGACTAATTTGCCAATTTTCCTGCCTGTATTTACCTGTTTTTTTTAATTTTATTTCTTTTTTTGTTTGTTCTTTTTACTTTGAAGTAGGGAAATGCAGTAATTTTGATTTGCTGAGATATTACACTCTTTTATAGCGAAAATTCAGCCTCTGTGAGTTTGCATACATTTCATGGGGATTTCTCCCACTCATATGTGAACACACAGACACACTTTCAGCTATCGTCAAAGGTGTATGTGAAAAACAAGCCATTGATTTTTGCCGTAATCATAACTAAAATGCCATGGGTGTGTTGTCCAGCTTACTGTGCCTGATAATGCCATGCAGTGTGTGTTTGGGGGGGTTGTTATAGCACCGGGGGTCTTACGTAACTAACTAACTGGAGCGTAGGGTTTATCGAATGAATTGCAGCTGACTTCCATACCTCACACAGCGTTGGTGTTGTGAGCGAGACCACATGAGAAAAAGGGCAAATTAAAAATCATGGATACTCTGACTGTCAAACTGTGCAGGTACTCACCCCAGGTACTCCTTTCTCTACCCACATCCATTTCTGAATGCTGTTGCCTGTCAGAAAAAACTATTCTGTACTTCTCCAGAAAATGAAACTTGAAAGCTTGATGTGTATATATTTTTGTTTCTTTTATTTTTCTATTTGGCAACTTTCAAATATGTTTGGGGAAACAAGTCATTTTATAGAAATGTCAGAGACACTTATTTTTTTTAAATGCTGAGATGCACAGACAGCCTGCTTGATATACCTACGCCAATAGCTAAAGGTCACTGGTGTGTATATTTTATTTTTTATTCCCTGTAGTGTGTAGTTCAGGACTAAGGTTTTGTAAGGAGTTTTTGATTAATGTCAATCTGTTTGGTTGGTAGGATGCTTTTGTTTGTCCCTGTTAAGTGGTCATTGAATCTACTTAAAGAAAAATCAAGTGCACCTGCGCATTGGCGTAAGCAATATAAAACAGGTTAGTCACTGTTTTTAAAAGATATGGTCTAAGGTAGTGACAAAACCGTATGGACTTTTTTTTTTTTAATCTTAAAAGCATACTTCTGGTCAAAGTAAAATCAACGGTATGTCATATCAAATTATATTATTGTGCAATATGGACAGGGTATATGTGCATTCTTAGCAGTGTCTCTTAACACATTCCTCTATGGCTAAATTAAGGGATATATATCACGACTAGTCTTTATGTAGATGCTATTGTTGCTTCAGATGCAGCAATTGTTGCTACAAGCACTTGTTGTGGGACCTTTGCTAACATTACATTTTGTGAACATTTTTGCTCAACAGGGGACACTGGGATATCTGGTGGAGGAAGAAGCAGAAGAGCGCACCCATCCTTACCCTGAACCCGACACTTCGCTGCTTAAAAACAAGGTGAACCACAAATGGTGTAGTGGCTTATTTAAAACATGAACATACATGTGTCAATAAGGAGAAAGGAAGAAAAAATAATACATTGATTTTCATGTTCCATTACCTGTCTTATCTTTTTTTTGCTGGACGAGGGTAGTTGTGGTTCATCTGATGTATTTCTTGGTCTAGATGTCAGCCAGTCATCACTTTAAATACCAAACTTAGAGGAAAAGTTCATTTATGGGTTTTTGTGTTCTTATTTTGAAAATCTTCCCACATCCTCATTGTTTCCTGGCATTTAGTGAAAATTAAATAAAATCAGTGCTTGTGGTTTGTTTTGGTTTGTCAGGTTCCCCTTCATGTCCTGACCTTCTTTATTTTAAAGTCAGTTGAAAGCATGTGTACAATGTTAGTCCTATGACAGGGCGTGTCTTTTCTCCTCCACACAGGGAGCTCACATTGATTGCTCTTGTCCCCTTACTGTAAAATATACTGATTTAATCAAAAGATTTTGAAGACTGAAGATTTGTTTAATTTTGTTCTGCTTTTAATGTCCATGTTGTCGCGATGAATAAAAAGTAAAAACGTGTTAATGTTGTGTTCGTTTTTTGTCTTTTGCCCCACCATTGCAACAAAAATGTCTCTTTATATTTTGATGCAAAAGCAGGTTAGCATAGTGAAGGGGAGACTGGCAATCATAAGAAAGGTGAGGCTTTATAGCCCTTTTGTCAGCAAGTTGCTGAAGGGTCCTTAAGTGGAGTTCCAGCCAGACTTGAATGGGTTTGTCAAGGTAATTTTATACACATGGGGATTGCCTTTAACTGTACTTTAAATGTGCAGTGTATTAGGATGACATTCTCATTGTCGTACAGTTAGTTTAGCTAATTTCCATTATTAGTGGTTTTTAGAAACAAGTATTTAGGTAAATGTGTTTTGTGGGCATACAGTATGCAATCACAGTATGCAATCAGCATACCATTATTTTGGAATAAATCAAACTTAATACTGTACTGTTAAAATATACAGGTGCATCTCAGAAGTTTCTGTAATTTAAGTCAAAGTGGAACTTTCATATATTCTAAGTTCTTTATGGGTAAGTTCTTTATGGGTAAAATATTTCAGGCCGTTTTGTGTTTGTATCTTTACAGCTTATGGAAATCAAAAATCCATATCTCAACATATTAGAATATTAAAATAAAGAGTATAATACAGAATTGTGGTCCTGGTGAAACGTTCTCCATAGATTCTCTATGGGGTTCAGGTCAGGTGAGTTAACTGGCCAATCAAGCTCAGTAATACCACGGTCAGCAAACCAGTTACCAGTCGTTTTGGTACAGTGGTCAGGTGCCAAGAACTGCTGGAAAAGGAAACCAGCATCTCCATAAAGCTTGTTAGCAGATGGAAACATGAAGTGCTCCTAAAATCTTCTAGTAGACTGCTGCATTGACTGTGGACTTGATAAAACACTGGACCAACACCAGCAGATGACATCGCACCCTAAATCACTAACTGAAAACTTTACACTGGCCTTCAAACAACCTGTATTATGTCAGTCTCTACTCGTCTTCCAAACTGTGAGACCTTGATTTCCAATGAAATGCAAAATTTACTTTCATCTGAAAAGAGGACTTTGCACCACCGAGCAGCAATCCAGTTCTTTCTCTCCTTAGCCCAGGTAAGACACTCCTGATGACATCTGGTTCAGGAGTGGCATGACACTAGCAATGCGACACTTGCAGCTCATTTCCTGGACTTGTCTGTTCCCGGTGGTTCTTGATGGACTGATTGAAGCCACAGTCCTCTCCCTGTGAAAGTTCTTGAATCTGCTTTAACAATCCTCTTAAGGCTGCGGTCAGCCCTGTTGCTTGAACCTTACAGTCAACTTTCCACGAACATGCTTTGATACATCACTGTGAACAGCCAGCACTTTCAGCAATGACCTTCTGCGACTTACCCTCTTTGTGGAGGGTGTCAATGAACTGTGAAGTCAGTCTTCCCCACAAATGTGGTTGTGTGTACTGAACCAGACTGAGTGATTAAAGGCTCTTCTCAGGTTGAAATTTCTGTATAAGTCATTCTTTATTGTAATATTTTGAGTGATGGATTTTTGATTTCCATGAGCTGTTAGGCATAATTATCAAGACAGAAAATAATAAGGCCTGAAATATTTCACTTTATTTGTAATCAATCTAGAATATATGAAAGTTTCACATTTTCAATTAAATTACAGGGGGATAAAAAAACTGAGAGGCATCTGTATATATTTTAACTATGTCGGTCTCATTTGGGTTTTTGTTGATCACTCGTTGAAGCACTTGTCTGTGGAAAAACTGAAAAACATTTTCACTTAGGGGTGGAGGGTACAGCATATTTACAGTGTTATACAAGCTGTACACTCACTTTTAAATTGTAGGAAAGTGTCATTTCTTCAGTGTTCAAAATGTGAGGGGGTATATTATTATGCTAACTTTAAGGTGTGAACTTTGAAACAGCGACCAGTCTATGGACAGCATAAAGCCATTTTGCTGAATTTGTGTATATCCATACAAACATTATACCCAGAATTTGTCCCTCCAGCTAGCCTCTTATGCCCCTCATCTTGTAATTGAGAACACACTGCACAAGTATCTTGTTACTGCCAACCAAGCAAGCAAGACAAGGATGGAAATAGTGAAACATATCCTGGCTGAAAGTCACTTGCCTTTGTAGGACATAATTTAACATTTTCATTATTCAGCAATGGTGAAAGCTTCTTGCTCATTTATGCTTGATGCTGACATGAGTGTGCTGTCATGCTGAAAAAGGCAAGGGATACCGCTGAATTATGGTAAAGCTTCAGAACATTTCTATTTCCCATTAAGTATTTGTCAACTTTGTCATGCTTAAGATCTAAAAACAGTGATGTCAAGACAATTTATGCAACAGTGACTCGCGTCATCTTATTACCGCTTCATTCAGGACCATGAGGTTAATTAATTAACCAAACATCTTGTGCTACTCGACTGACATTTAGGTGCACTTACCGTTTTTCTCTTAATCTCACAAATAAGTTCCCCCTCATTCCCATCCGAAGCTAACACTGACCACATACCAGACGAGATGTGTTTCCTTGGTACTGACCTTTCCTACCCAGGGGCCAGTGGAGAAAGCACCAGGGTTTACAACCCACACCCTGCAGATTCATCACAGACTGTGTGACACAAAGCCAAGAGAGGAAAACTGTAGAAATACTTAGAACCTGACATTATGAGAGGCAAAGATGGTGTCACAGATTATAATCAATCAAATAGTGATTAATAGTTTAAGAAACCTGAAAAGTACAATTAATGTTGTCGTCAGATACCAACAAGGATCAGCTTGCAAGTAAAATTAACTTTTTTTTTTGTAAGAGACAGTATTAGAATTCATGCAATATACTTAATGGTACAGCCGTATAGCCTGCAGGTGTATACTCCTCATGAAGCAGGGCTGTGTATATGTCAAGTAGCCTATATGCCAGTTTACAGTGGTAGCAGTTGTGACAGATTACTTGACATTAATAAGCTGATCCTCCATTACTTACTGGTGCTTCCAAAGCTGCTTCCCAGGTGAAGAAAGTGATAACGGATAGAAAGACACAGATTATCACATTGAATGATTTGGGCTCATCTTCCTCTGCTGAAAAGGCTTGAAGTAAAAACTTCTCGTCCTTCGGCACATCTTTGTTTGCACCGTTACCATCTCTATTAAGACCGTTGCACATGGTCTCAACAGAGTTCAATTAGTGTTTGGAGAAACAAACACAGCTTTGGGTGTTTGTGTACCCCTCAAGCAAATTATCCATCAGTTACAACATAACCTTGTGTGATTCTGCAGGTGGACTGGCCCAGCTGTGACCTCTGTTCCTCTCTCTCTCACTCTCGTGACCTTCTGAGTCGTCGCCTAAGCCCCTTTGCGCCCTGATTTACTTTCTGTGGAAAAGAATAAAAAATGGCGTTCTCTCCTCCTGTCCTGTCCCGTCCCAGAACACCAAAGTAGCAGGTGGGCTTTAAATGGTCTGTTAACCTCTGGGACAGAAGCTGGAACATGGAACTGTGAACCATGCAGGGGAGGCCCTGGTTTCAGAGCCAGACACTGCTCATTTGGGGAGGTAGACTGGCACCAGGCAGCAGCAGATATGAATGGTTAGGAGCTGGATTTGTCGGACAAGTCGGACTAAAGAGCAGAATTTTTTTCCTGCTCTATATCATATGTGAGGAATGGACTTCATAATGTTGAGTCTTGCTGTAGGTGTTATGTTACAGAGACGATCCTTTATATTTCTGAACAGCAGGAGGCAGTATGTACCTATTTTCCAAGGAAAGCCTCACAGCAGTGCAGATCCAGTATTTCTTGAGACATATTCCTGTTATTGCATACTCATCCACACGCAGGTGCAGGGAGGGAACCTGAGAATAGCAACTCACTTTAAACCGTGTAACACTCAGGAAACATTAACACCATGTTCTCTCCGCAACACACAATCTGTACATGTCATTAGGGAAAACAGTAATTCCCCAGGGTAAGAGTCGCAGGGCAAAACAGGAGGGAAGAAATAACAGGAAGATAGTGAGCTGGAAAAGACAGGGGAAATGGAGAAGAACACAGAGCAGGAAACAAGGAGAGAGATGGAAGGAGCGATACCTGATGTGATGCTAAATAAGCAGGGAGAAAAAGGATAATGGAGATAGATTGTCCCTTCCTTTTTCTACTTTTACTCTTCTTTCACACAGTGAATCTCAAGTGAAGGTCGAGAAGGAAAGCAGCATGTAGATTATGCAGTAGAGGAGGCAATTCATCAGTGCTGTCGGTGTGCTGTCTGATTAATGATCTAAACTCCAACACACAGCCGCAGCTTATGTCAGCTGTCAATCATGTTCTGGTGGGGGAAATGATTTCTTAAGGCGTCTGTCAGTTGTGCTGAGCTAGTACCTATGTGCATTACTCCTTGCACAGCTGTAGCACTAATATTCTAGTATCTTTCTTTATACTATTACAGGGGATGTAGTGATACTAGGTATCCTCTCAGGCTAATCAGGTGCAGGCTGGCATTGCAGAAATTCTCAAACTGCAGCGTTGTGTTTTAGATTTTTCTGTAGTGTATGTATGTTCATGAGTTTATAACCTTAATTCGATCTTTCAGGTGCATCAAGGTTTAGCCCCAATCAGGCTATTTGGCTGGAACCACCTAATGTATACCATCCGTACCAGTTAAGGACTCATCATCATTCACGCACAGTACATGTTTCCCAATCAATCCAGTGGTGGCCTTCGTGTCTGTCAGCCAGACACCAATCTGTCACATTGCAACCAGCTAATTATGGTAGTGGACGGCGACAAATCCCCCACTTCGGATAATCGATTGACAACATGTTAACGGCACATTAAGAGTGGGGCGGCTGTGGCTCAGGGGGCAGAACGGTCATCCACTTATTGGTGGTTTGATCCCCGGCTCCCTTGTATCCTTGGGCAGGATACTGAACCCCAAATTTCTACCACATGGCTGTGCCATCAGGATCTCTGGGGTGGCTGTGGCTCAGGAGGTAGAGCGGGTTGGCCGTTAATCGGAAGGT